GGGGGCTGGTGCCGGTCTCTAGACGGGTCTACCCCCCTCGCCGTAGGTGCTGCTCGAGGGGGGCGCGGACCCCGCCCTCCGCCACGTGCGGGACGGCTTCCGCGTGCCATACGACGTGGCAAAGACGCGCGAGGTGCGCGATCTCCCCATATCTCCCACCATCTCCCACCATCTCCCACCATCTCCCACATCTCCCCACGACGCGCGGGGCGCGCGGGCGGCGCTCCGCGGGGAGATGCCGTTTCCGCGTTGGCCGCGTAGGTGCGCAACGCCTTCCGCAAGGCGCGCGCGGAGTTGCCCGAGCGGTGGGATTGGGCTGCCGCGCACGTGCCCCAGGGCCTGACGGAGCAGGAGGAGGCGGACAGGGAGGAGCGCGAGCGCGCAAAGGCGAGGGAGAAGAAGAAGAAGGCGGAGAAGGCGCGCAAGGAGCGGCGCAAGCAGGAGGAGGCGGAGCGTGCCGCCGCTGCCGCCCTCCTCGCCGAGGCGACAGCGGGCGCCGATTTGGCCGCTCTCTCCGCCTCCATCGAGAAGGCGCAGGGCGTGGGCTGCGACGGCGCCGAGCTCGAGCGGGCGCGCGAGAGGCTCGCCGCGCTCCAGTTTGAGGCGACCGACCCGGCGGCCATCGCGAGGAGGGAGCGCGAAAAGCGGGCGGCGGCGGCCGAGGCGCGGCTGAACAGGCTCACGGAGGGCGCTCAGTGAAGGTAAGGTGCCGGAGCACGCAGGGGGTTGCGGGGCGTAGAGAGCCGAGCTCGGGTCTCGCGAGTGTGACTGTGAGAGTTGTGAGCTGCGCAGCAGTCGGTTTCCGAGTTTCCGTAAACCTCAATAGCCTTGTATCATGCCGTAAGAACACTCTCGCAAGATCTACAATCTACTGTGTACAGAGAGATCTCTCGACACTCGAGGGGTAAAACCGCCTCTCGAGACTCGACCGTCATTGCACATCTTGTGCGAGATCCGGATTGCGGATAGACCTGTAGACCTGTTATCCGGATCTGCGCACGCGCGCGGGATCTCGCGCCGCGATATGCACAAAACGAGTGTACCCCATCTCGCGTCCCCTCCAAATGTCTAAGAGAAGGCGGGCGACAGTGGCCCTCCAAGTCAGCCTCTCTCGTCGTGCAGCTCCTCCGGGATCGCCGGCTCCGAAGGCGTGCGCAGACGAGCTCTGGGCGACAGCGCCGGCGGGCTCGCGTGCATGCTGGGCAGCGCTTCCGTCTCGACGGCGGCGAGCACGCGGGCCGCCACCCTCTCCTGCAGCTGCGCGTGCGACGATGGCGCGCGCGTGGCGACGAGCTCGTCGGGCGCTGCCTGAGACCGCACCACCCACGGGACTGAACCCACGCTGGATTCGAGACTCTGGAGGGTATGGTACTAGGCGCTGCCGTCTGAGCGACGCGGCGCGAGATGGCGTGCGAGTCATAGTGCGGCTCTGCCGTCACCTGCGGCGCCGAAGAACGGACGGTGAGGCGCACCGCCAAGGTACGCGCGGCCGCCCCAAGGCCGCTCGCGCCTCTCGGATGGCGTCCACCACCGGTGGGAGCGAGATTGGCGCCTACGGGAGGTGTGGGGAGATGTCTCGGAGATGTGGGGAGATATGGGGAGATATGGGGAGATTGTCGCCTACAGAAGAGCGGCGAGACGGCTGGGAGGAGGCGGCCTGGGTGGTGCGCCACCGGCACAGACAGACGGGGCGCATCTCGCGACTCGGCCTCCACCTAGCACCACACCCCCAGGGTCTCGAACCCAGTGTGGGCTCAGTCCCGTGGGTGGTGCGGTCTCACTGAAGCCTCCACCTCAAGGATGGCGACATGGCGCGCGCCGTGGAAGGAGTTGAGCTCCCAGTAGCTGTTCCCCCAGCTGAAGCACGTGAGCGTCTTCTTGATGGAGGCGCAGGCCGGGTCCGCCTGAGACCGCACCACCCACGGGACTGAACCCACGCTGGATTCGAGACTCTGGGGGTATGGTACTAGGTGTTCTTGATGGAGGCGCAGGCCGGGTCCGCCTGACCCGAGCGAGAGTAGCCGGGTAGGGTCGAGTGGCGAGGGGGAAGGGAGAGGCGGCGTGCGAGAGGATTCCCCTCTCTAGACGGTAGGGGAGCGGCCTGCAGAGGATTCCCCTTCTGACGGTAGCTCCGACAGCCAACCCTCTCCGAGATCGCACAGACCGCCTCGCGTGCCCCCATGTGTCCCGCGAGTGTGCGTGCCCCGTCGTCCGTGCTAGGGACGTGTGATACGCTGACTGACTGCTCCGCCTGCTTGAGCAGCACCAGGTACTCCCGGCCGGTGAGCGTCCGCTCGATCAGTGTCGGCGAAGCCGCCGCCTTCTGGTCGCTGCCTAGAAAAGAAAGACAGGCCGGGTCACCTGTGTTTCACTTCTAGCCGCCGCCTTCTGGTCGCTGTCGCCCTCGACGCCGACCTGTTCACAGCTCGACGTGTGAAGAGACGCTGTTCACACCACGATGGGCGCGCAGCGGTGCACCACCCATGTCTGGTGTTGGAAGGAGACATTGGATCCCTGCTGCCTCCTCCGGACTCGGCAGCGCTCGTGCTCGTTTGGTGAGCAGAGGTACGTACTCTCCACCTAGGGTTCGGGTACTGTGGGGTAGGGGAGGGTTGGCGTCTGGTGTCCCGAGGCACGTGCTCTCTACCTCGAAGACTTCGTACCGCGAGACGTGCCTCCGCAGCTCCTCCTCGCGAGGCAGCCGCTGCAGCAGGAACTTGCGCGTCACCGCCTGCCGAGATATGGAGAGATATGGGGAGATATGGGGTGATATTGGGAGATTGCAGCAGGAACTTGCGCGTGGCCGGGCACGTGTCTAGGAAGTGTCTAGGAAGTGTCTAGGAACTTGCGCGTGTCCGCCTGCGGGCCGGGCACGCCGAGCAGCGCCGAGATGCGCGCCACCGCGCGCCGGATCTTCTCCTCGAAGCTGCACGAGTTGTCGACGATGTACAGGTGCTCGTGCCCCGTCCAGCAGTCGAGCGTGCGCCGGTCGACCTCGATCGCCGCCTCGACGGATTCTGTGCGGCTCTCGTTGTTGGCGAGGCTGTAGAAGGGGGCGGCGCCGTCGGCGGCGGTGACGAGGTGCACAACGGCGTCGTACCTCTGGTCGCGAAGCATCACCGGCGTCAGCTGCAGCTCCTCAAGCAGCAGCTCCCACTGCTCCTCCTCCATGTACGCCTTGCCATCCATCAAGCCGCGGTCGAGCAGCACCACTGCCGGGCGACCCGACCCCTTCGCCAGCGCGATGAAGGCGTCCTCGACCTCGCGCTGCACCTGCATCAGGTGCTTCTGGAAGGCGAAGCCCGACGCCTCGTCGCTTGGCAGCGGAACGCCGCCCGAGAAGAGCATCGTCGCCGTCTCGGGCACCGTCAGCACCAGAAAGCCAAGCTCCTCGAGCCGGATACGGAGCTTGGCCAGCGCGGTGGTCTTGCCGCCGCATGGGCCGCCCGTCAGGACGATTCGGTGCAGCGGCTGGGGTACCAGCGCGCCCGCTACGCCGCGAGCCCGCAGCGCCGTTAGCTCGCGCTCCTTGAGCCGGAGCTGCGACTGCTGGTTTTCGACGAGGGCCTCCAGCGCCTGCAGGCGCTTCTGCCCGCGCTTTTTCTGCCTCTGCCAGTGCACGGCGATGAGCACGGCGACGCCAGCGCCAAAGATTGCAGCGGACACAGCAGAGTCGTTCATGTCGGACCCCCCCCTAGCATGTGGTGTGAGCAGAAGCGCGCCCCCCCCCCCTGGAAGCGATGCCCGCCTGCTCCAGCACAGCCTGACCCACAGCCGAGGGTTAGGGTTAGGGTTAGGGTTAGGGTTAGGGTTAGGGTTAGGGTCAGAGAGTTCAAGCCGTTGTGTGCAGCTCCTACCTAAGAACGGGCCGCTTCGGGTCGGAATGGAGGAACCAGCGGTCCGTTGACGCGAGCTCTCGGTGAATGCTCCGAGTTCTTAGGGTTAGGGTTAGGGTTAGTAGGGTTAGGGTTAGGGTTAGGGTTAGGGTTAGGGTTAGGGTTAGGGTTAGGGTTAGGGTTAGGGGTAGCTTGTTGTCGTCGCGCCGATAAGACAGAGACACGGGCAGCAGACGCGACCCAATCGACGCACCAGAGCATGGTTGGGCGTGTGAGCCGCCATCTTGGACTGTGAGAGGCGAGTATTTGCAACCGGGAGCTCGCCGCCGCCCCTACACCGCCGCCGCCGCCCTCCCGAGGGCAGATAATAGCCCAAGTCGATGAGTGCGCCCCGGCCCTCGACATCTCGGTGGCAGAGGCGACCCAAGCGATGCACCAGAGCACGGCTGGGCGTGTGAGCAGCCGTGTTTGACTGTGAGGCGAATATTTGTCATCGGAGCGCGCCGCCGACTCTACACCGCCGCCGCCGCGCGCCACGGTTGCCAGCCGTGCCTTCGCGGGAGCCGTCCCTCGAGCCGCGTCCCGTCGCCACTGTCCCTGAGTGCGTCCCGCCTTGGCGGCACACACTCGACGAGGACAGTCCGGCCGACGGGAGTGTCGCGCGCCGGCGACGATTGCGGCGTGGTGGGTGTGTGTACGAAGCGACGATGGCACGACCACCTCCCTGCATCGCAGACCGGGCAAGGAGGGGCCTGCTCGCGTTCCGCGGAACAGGAGATCTCTCCCCATCCCCTGAAAAAAGAAAGCAAGCCTAGGACAAACCCAAGTAGACTGACGAGAAGCCCTGGCCTGGTCCGCCGAAAGCTCGTGCCACTTACGAGGGGGGGGGATAAGCGTAAAAAGGGACGGAAGCCGAGAGCGCTCGCAAAGAGGACGCGGCGGCGGCCAATGGCCACATCATCAGCATCACCGCCCGCACCACCGCCCTCTCCCGCCGTCCCGCCGCCTTTGGTTACCCGCGACGGCGCCGCTATGCCGCTCGGCGGCGATCGACTGCAGAATGACACGCCGCCCATGCTGCTCGGTCCGCCGCCTCTGGCTACCCGCGATGGCTCCGCGTTGTAATCAAGTCGATGCAAGTCAAGGCTCGCGAGCAAGCCCCCCACTTGTGCTCAGGTTCTGCTGAATGCACTCTCCCTTCCCCGCGCTTTCGCAGGTCCATCCCACATGGGCCCCGCGGGGGAGGCGCCGGCGGTGGTGACAGAGGCGCAGGGCTGGCGGCTGCACCTCTCGAGTCGCAGCAGCACCGGCTACGCAGGCGTGCGCAAGCAGGAGCAGGCGTCGGGCTCGCGCGGCCGCCGACTTCCCTGGGCGTCGGGCCGCTTCGCGGCGTACCACACGGTGGACGGACGACGGGTCTACGACGGCTCTTCGACTCGGCGGTGGAGGCGGCGGTGGCACGCGCGGGCGGAGGGGTCGGTGGACGGACAGGTCGCCGCCCGCCGGCGCGAGGTGCGCTAGACTGGGAGACCACCTCACTATGGAGCCTGGACCCAGTTCTCATGATTGTACATGACTAGCGATGTGTTATAGTTCCTCTTGTGTAAGTAAGACGCGATCCCGCCCAAGGGGCGTCTACTTGGGTTTGTCCGCGACACATCGCGGGAGATACATGCCCAAGTCTCGCGGCACGGGGAAACCCGCAAATCCATCCCCGCCGGGGCGTAAATCGGAGTCCAGGGCGAACCACCTCGTACCGTTGGCGCGGAGAAGACAGCGGGGATCACTCACTACTCGAGTAGCAGCGCTAGGAGCTCTTCTCGAGGATGCGCACGCGCGTTCGACGGACAAGTACAGCCGCCTCGCCGGCCGCGGAGTGTGGCCAGTCGGGCGCGAACTCGCTGTCCGAGCGCCTCATGTTGATCCCAGCCATCCGCAAGGACAGCACGACTGGCTACAAGAACGTGACCTTCAACCGCAGCAAAAACAAGTTCCAGGCGGAGGTGCAGGATGGCGGCAAGCGTATCTTCCTCGGCTGCTTCGACACCGCCCAGGGGGCGGCCACCGCCTACGCTCGCTCAGAGTACGGCCGCGCCGACGCCGCAAAGCTGCTGCAGCCTCGCCCAGCTCTCACTGCCGCTGGCGCCGAGGCGATACAGCTGGCGGAGAGGGAGGGTCTCACCCTAGCCATCAGCAGCAGCAACAACACCGGCTACAAAGGCGTCTGCTACAACCCGAATCAGACAGGCAGCAAGAAGTACCAGCTGAGGGTGGGGGCTGGCAGCAGGAAGGTTCACCTCGGCGTCTTCGCCACCGCCGAGCAGGCGGCGCTCTTCTACGCCCGCAGGGAGGCGGGCAGGGTCACCAGCGATCTCACCGCCCAGGCAGCTCGGCAGGCGGGGAGGGAGGGCCTCACCCTCTTGTCCAATGTCGCCCTTGCGAGCCCCACCAGCCATCACCTCAGGTGACAGGTCTGAGCGGGCCTCCCGCCTCCCGGGGTACACCACGTGTGTGGTTCCGGACTGTGTGCACCATATAGAGCGTGACGTGCGCATGGGTCAACAGCCCCCCCCCCCCCCCCCCTCTGTGTGTGCGCTAGCTGACACCTCTGTCTTCTGTCTCTACCGTGTTGTAAAGCCGTGACCCGTGTAGTACACACCCCCCATCCATACCTGGGCGTTCTTCATGGGCGTAACGTACAGTACAGTGCATGATAATGCATCGAGACGAAGCCCACACTACACACATCAATCCCCGTCCAAGCCCGGCAGTAGGTCGTCAAAGCCGAGCGCGTCGACCGCCACCCGGCTTGGGGCGGCACCGGCCGCCTCTCCCTCGGCCGCCGCGACGACGCAAGCCTCTTCCGGTCGGCACTCCTCGAAACCGGCGTTGAGCGTCCCCGGCGTGGCGAGGAGGCGCGCGAGCATCGGCGCACGCGCCTCCGCGCTGGCAAACAGCTCCTCCGGCAGGTAGACGCCCGCGCGCGGCAGCGCCGCTCGGAGGAGCTCCGCCTGCCGCGCCGCCTCTGGGGCGGGCGGGTCGCCCAAACCACCGCCGGCCGCGGCGACGCCGTGCGCGCCGGTCGCCTCCAACATCGCGAGCGCGAACTCGGCGCAGCTCTGGCCGACGCAGCGCCGGAAGGAGGAGTGCGCCTGCACCGCCGAAGGACATGAGCCGAGATGAGCCGAGATGAGCCGAGATCGTGCCGGAAGGAGGAGTGCGCCTGCACCGCCGTGACGCGGGATCCGTCCTCCGCCGCCGCGTCGACGCGCATCGCGTGCGTCTCGCCTGTGAAGGAGAGGAGCAGAGAGGAGCAGAGAGGAGCAGAGAGGAGCAGAGATGAGCAGAGAGGAGGAGCCGAGAGGAGCAGAGAGGAGCAGAGAGGAGCCAAGAGGAGCAGAGAGGAGCAGAGAGGAGCCAAGAGGAGCAGAGATGAGCCGAGAGGAGCAGAGATGAGCAGAGATCGCGCATCGCGTGCGTCTCGCCTGTGAAGAGGTCGGTCAGCCGCACGAGCGGCTGCGAAAAGTCGGCTAGGCCCTGCGAGAAGGAGCGCCTCTTCCACCAGCCGCGCGGCACGACATCAACCATCACCCCCATCACCGAGTTCCAGAGCTCAGGCGCGGTGCCCATGCCGACCGACGAGCTGCCCGTGATGGAGAGCCGCTCCGCCACCGTGCAGCCCTCTGGGAAGGGCCAGCTCCAGACAGAGCGCTCGCCGACCAGCGACTCAGACGCCTCGTCGCGGCCGCGGAGGAAGAACTCGACCTTGCGCAGCCCGCCGCCTGCGTCCATCTGCGGCGAGAGCCGGCCGGCACGGAAGACAGGCACCTCCTCCCCGAATCCGTCGTTCGTGATGAATAGGTTGACGGCGCCGCTGCCGCCGAGGCCGGCGGTGAAGTAGCTGAAGTCAAGGTCGTGCACTCGCCGCCGCAGCCGCGCTGCACACTCCATCGCCAGCACGTTGGACAGGCCGGGGAAGGCACCGCCCGCGCAGAGGGCGAGAGTCCCGCTGGCGCGCGCAGAGCCGCCAAGAGTCTTTGCCTCCCGCAGGTACGCCACCGGGTCGGACAGGTCGACGTACACGGGCACGCTGGCGGCGATGGACGCGCGCAGCACGTCTGGCGACTCGCCAGCGTACGGGCCGGCCGTGTGCACGACGGCGATTGCGCCTTCGAGCGCAGCAGCGAGGGCTGCCTCATCGCGCCAGTCGAGCTGAAGGAAGTCGAAGCGGCTCTGCGAGAACCGACCCGCCCGCTCGCGCCTCACCTCTGCCAGGGCCGCCTCGCCTCTGGCGCGATCGCGGCCGGCGAGCTGGATGGCCACTGGCTGGGCACGCGAGATCAGATGCGCAGCCACGGCGGTGCCGATCCGTCCGGTGCCGCCCAGCACGACGATTTTCGGCAGCACCGGTGCGGCTGGTGTGTTCGGAACTGGCATTCGCCGACGCTCGTCCCACGGCCTCCAGTTGGAGAGGCCGGAGGCTGCGGCCGCAAAGTGGATTAGCAGTAGCCGGACAGAAGTCGGCATTACACAAGGGGGCACAGGGAAGTCGGTGTGTTGTCGTTTGGCCCAGGGGATGTGAGGACCCGGCTGGCCGGGAGGACTGGCGCTTCGAAGAAAGGCAGGGGACGGCGCGCACTGCACTACCTCCTGTATCGGGGTAATGGGGGGTTTACGAGGTGTGAACGTGAACAGAGTAGCCAGATCGCTCATGGGGGGCCTCCCGGACGTATGATCCTAGCCCAATAAGCGCCACGGAGCAGATTTGGATTTTTGACAGAATTAAATGCACTGCCCCCGCACGGTACTAACGATCGTAGTTTTGGGGGCGGCGCCCCTCACGGCACCACACTGACGCAGGACAGCCCGAGATTAGCCTAGCAGTGACTGGGAATCGCCTGCCGGTCGGCTTGGCATGAGCCAAGCACTTGGGTGGCCGTCAACCGAGTCCGAGCGGCGCCTGAGGTGGGTGCCACGGCGTCCGCACGAAGGCGTGGCGGGGTGAGGAGCCAGGGGTGGTGAACACCTCCCCGACGGGCGCGCGGCGCGCCGGATGGTCCGCCGAGGCCGCCGCCGCCCCGGCGGCGGCGATGGGGGCGGCGGCGCCGACCCGGCCGGCGTTTGTCGGCTCCACCTACAGAAGAGCAGTCTCTGTGGGTCGACGATACTAACTCGGTAGTAACGCTGAGCGGTGCTGTGCGACGCCGCGTCGTGCGCGAGGCGACCTCCTGAGGCTACCTGAGCTGGCAATGGATGCCACCAGGACGCACGGCTAGCAGGAGCCAGTCGGGCATGCCCTGCTGTGGAGCAGAGCCTGCTGGCGCACCGGCGATACTAACTCAGCGTGCCGCGAGAGGCGAATCTGGGCGACTTTGGAGGCGCAGTTCTCGAGGTTGCCGTCGACGATTGATGTCGGGTAACTTGTCACTGCCGTCCGGGAAGCTCTTCTCTCAGCAGGCCGAGCGCCGTGGCATCGCGCGGCTCGCAGCGCTGTCGCGGCGCCGAGACCCCCAAAACTCGCGAGACCTCGATACTAACAAAGACTGCGATACTGGAGGTACCGAGTGCACAGTTCGCCCGCCTTCTCAGTACTCTCGTGAGGCTGTGAAAGCACGCCCACCCCCGAAGGCAAGTGCGTCTGATTCACAGCTTAGGAGAGTACCTTCTCAGGCCTGTGTAAGAAAGAAACAGGCGGAATCACCACACGTTGCTTCACGTTGTGGCTTCTCTGGCTGGTATCTGGATGGAGTCCTCCTGGCTGCTATCCGCCCACCAGCCGGCCACAGGCCGCCACCCTCGCCGCGGCCGGCGTCGAGAACGGCCAGACAGCAGACTCGACCCGCTCGGGTCCCGCGCGCCGCGGGTGTCGCGCCGCTGCCTGCGTCTCGTCGCGCCGCTGCAGCAGCGCCAGCAGCGGCTCTATCACAGCACACTGGCACGACAAGGGCGTGGACTGGCGCACACTAGAGGACTCACGGCCACGCGCCGCCACTGGATGACCTTTGTGTGTTGTGGCTCAGTGTGCTAGAGAGGTTAGCCCCTGGAGCAGCCTGCGAGCGTCACAGTGAGCATCTGCAGCTTGAAGTGGTGGCCGCCGGAGGAGGTCTCGTTGAGGAGGCGAAGCCGCATGTAGCAGCTCGCGTCACCGGTGGAGCGGCGGTGGATGGAGGTGGAGGAGGCACCCTCGGATGGCCGGCTCGAGTCGTTGCTCACCGAGAGCTCGACGCCGCGCTCGGCTGTGATTGACACCCGCCGCCCTCCCCTGCTCGGCCGCGAGTGCGCGTCCAGCACAAACGGGTCGCATCGGCAGGAGCCAAAGCACGACACCGCGGCCCGACCTTGCCTCTCGTACGAGGTGAGGTAGTGCAGCGTCGCGCACGCGCGCGGCAGATTCGCCGCGCCTCGCCCGGCCTCGAGCGGCTCCTTGCGCCGCAGCGGGCGCCACGCCTCCACCGCCACCCCAAACTCAATCGTCGCGCCCGGCCGGAGGGCGACAACGCCGTCGGTGCGCTTGCCTCGCACGTACTCGCCCGACGTGCGGTTGAAGACGAGCGCGTAGTCGCAGGCGAACCAGCCATGCCGCACGGAGGCGGCGGGGGCGGCGCCCACGCTCCGCGACACCGGGCACGAAGGGCGGGAGTGGACGCACTGACCCATCGACTCGCCCGTGCCGCAGTGCGCCGACCTCCACCGCATCTGCTCCACTCTTGCGCGCGAGCGCGCCTTCGACGCGCTCTCGACGCTCCGGAAGGCGATGCAGCGCGCCGAGCCGGGGTGCAGCTTCCCCGACTGCAGCAGCGCTCGCGTCCCCTCCATCGCTGGCGGAGGGAGTTCACGCCGCTGGTGCTGGTGCCTGCCGGGAGCCAGACGGACAGACGCCGCCGCCCGACCGATCCAGTGCTGCACAATGGCGCGCGCGTACGCGGCGCCGAAGCGGCCCGTCCTCGGGTGGAGGCAGTCGGCGGCGACGTCCGCCCGTGCGAAGTTGGCCGCGCGCTGCAAATAGAGTGGTGCAAAGGCGTGGTAGTAGGAGAGGCAGGTGAGGTCGTACTGCTCGCAAAGCGACTCAAAGGCGTGCTCCGCCCTCGCGTGCGGGCCCTTGTCGGCCGGCAGGTCGGGCTCCTCTTTGTCCGGCGTGTGCTTCATCTTCCACTCGAGGTGCGCCGTCGCGCAGAACTCGCGGACGGTGAAGAAGACCAGCGCTGGCGCCGACGGCAGCGAGAGGAGCTGCCGGACGAGCAGTTCGGTCTGGGCAAGGTCGAGGAAGCGCGCCATCGAGCCAAACTCGAGGAAGATGAGGTGAGGGCTCGGCGGCAGCAGCCCGTGCATGCAGTGCCGGAACTGCTGCGCCGGAGTCGCGTCGACTGCTCCGTTGTAGAGCTGGTGCTCGGCGTGCGGCCAGGACTGGTTGATGACTCGCAACGCGTGCACCCACATGCCCTCTCGCTGGAGGCGTGGTGTCATGCAGCGAGCGTACTTCTGCTCCAGGCAGCCTCCGTCGGCTGCGACTGAGGCGCCGAGCACACCGATGTGGATCGGCTTGCCGCGCCGCAGCCTCGAAGTGAGCGGCGCGAGCGCGGCGTCGCTGGCCATGTGCCGCAAGGAACTTGCGAGCACAGAGGGTGGCAGTGTGGGAGCATCAGTCGGTGTAGGTGGCAAGGTCGACATACGGAAGTCGCTGAGAGGGGTGAAGGGTCGAAAGGTGGCGGGCGGCGTGTCGCCTCATGACTTCCTTTTGTCGGCGTTTTTTTCCCACGCTTCTTTCTTTCTTTCAATTGTAGGCAAAGAAAGACGCTGCGCACACACAAAATCACAGTGGGTGGAAAGCGAAGAGTCACTTTACAGTGGTCGATTAGAGATGTGTCTGAGAGAGATGAGCAGCACCGCGAGCAGCACCGCGAAGTAAGCTCGACCGGGCGCGTGTCAGCTAGAAGTTTGCCAGTAGAAAACAGCTGGCGCCCTTTCCATCATTTTATGCGTTTTTTTTTCCTACGACCGTCCCACAACTGGTATTACTACCGACCCAAAAGGGGGGCAGGATGGCCGATTCGTCGCTGACACCCACTGACTGGAGTGACGGGCTCCTTCAACCATTGAAGACACGTGTCGATGAGCTTCTAACTCGATCGCGTACTCGAGATACAGCTTGAGATGTGCGAGTTGGAGTGGCCTCACGGAGTCGGCGCCGCCGCTCGGCGCTCTTCTGCTGGTTTGGCGATCCAGCGCTGCTCGTCAAGACAGAGGCTGCCTCCACTCCTGAGCTGCTCAGGCCTGGTCAAGGCCACCCACCGGCATGCTCTGGGAGCGCGGATGCACACCAGATCGCGCTGCTGAACCCACGGTGGCTGCCTTTGGCCACCGGCAGCGCCGGTGCGACGACATGCTGGCGGCGGTCTTCCGCAAACTACTGTCAGGCGAGTGCACGACGAGATGTGACCATGGGCGCTCGCATGTGTGCTCAGGGCACCTCAGGGCTGCTGCGTGACGCGTGGCTCGGCTCCGCGAGCGCTTGTGAATTTTCTGTGATTTTATAAGTCTCTCCCCCGCAAGTGAGGGGGTGGTTTCGGAGTTGCACCGTCATCCGTCCGTTTCGCGCGCATTAGCGACGATGCTCTCGACGCTCCGACACCGTGGCGGCAAGAGGAAGGTGGGCGAAAGCGGAGCCGTTGCTGGCGAGGACCCCGACGCCCGACGATGGCGACGGCTACGCCGTCAAGATGCTGTGCAGAGTCTCCTCGATGTCGCACGGCCCAAACAAGCAACTTCTCGAGCGCTGGCCGACACACTCGAGCTCGTGGTGGAAGAATGGAGTGTTCACGCAGCGGAGATGCAAGGGGACACGTATGAGATCGTCGGCGGCGAAGAGCGTGCCAATGCCAAGAAGAACCTGCGCCGAGGGTCGGAGACAAAAAGCGTTATGAGCATGGTGCTAGATGCGGCCGGCACAGATGAGCTGCCGCAGGCAAGCCGCTGCTGCCACTGCCGCTGACGCACGTACCGCTCGCGCCCAACCAGTCGCAGCCCCCACGCCTGCAGGTGCTCGAGCTCGTCTCGAAGCTCCAAACCAGCTCTGGCCGCGCTGCACTAGTCGATATGTACGGAGCAAAGCACGAATGCGCCGACGATGCCGAGATGGCAAATGACGATGATGATGTCGATGCGAGCCGCTGCGTCCCGCCTGCAGGGACCAAGGTAGCGCTGTGCAAGCTTGCTGCCCACACCGTCATGAATGAGCAGTGTGGCACAATCGCCGGCTACTCAGCTGAAGCCGATCGGTACGTGTCACCGGTGGTCTCATGCCCAGTGAGGTAGTGCATCTGACTATCCCGGATCCTGCTGACCAAGCTCCTCTTGTAGCTCGATCGGTCACACCGCCATCGCCGCCGGGGAGAGGGGGGACGACACTGCTTCGGCAGCGTGCACCGCGATCCTGCACCGTGTTTGTTATGACCCCCCCTAATGAACACTCCAGTGAGGGTGGGCGAGACGATCGAGGGGTCCCGTACCATGCGGAATCGACCCTATCCAGTGCTCAAGTGCTCACGTGTCACCAACGTGTCTCGTCGTGGGCATGGGTTTGTGGGTGTGGCGGTGAGAGAGTCAGTTCTATGGATGGGTGAGCGTATGCGAGTAGAGGCGCGTGAGCCGATTCTAGATCGCATGCCATTGGCATATAACTTGGCTTGGCGTGCGACCTCAGCGCGCCCGCCGTCAGCTCGACGGGGCGCGCATGTCAGCGAGAGGTTTGCCGGTAGAGCGATCCCGGTCTTGCTTGAGCTCGACTGATTGAGAATAATAAATGCGTGGATATCGTCCAAATGCAAAGCCCGCTTTTGCCCTCGCTCGCGCAACGTAATGAATTTTACAACTACGAAATGAAATATGGCTGAGCCGTGCCTGAACAGCTTCGGGAGCCGCGCGTTCCAGGACCCGCACCTCAATTTTGCGCACGGCGGCCAGGCCGACTTTCGCGGCCGCCACAACGTGCTTTATAACTTCCTCTCTGCGCCCGGACTCTCGGTCAACGTCAAAATTCAGGAGGCGGTCTTCACAATCCACGACGGGGCGCTCACAGTCAATGGCTCCTTCCTAGTAGAGGCGCACGTCGTCGCGCGCTTTGCCAATCAGAGGAGCGCGAAAGCCTCGTTCTGGGGGTCCGAGCTCAGCGAGACCAACTTTGGCTGGCAGGTCATCAATGGAACTTGCGTCGGCCGCCCGTTCCGGTTCGGCAGACGCGGCCACAAGACCTGCTACGGCCTCAAGATGGCCATGGCCTACTCGAGCGCCACCTTCGAGTTGGGCAACTGGACAGTGACGGTGCACGGCATGCAAAGCTGCAAAGGCTGCCTTATCGCGGGACCCGAGCACCGCCTGGACCTAGGCTTCTCCGCGCGCGGAGACGCGCCATCTCGCGACAGGCCTCACGGCATCGTCGGTCAGTCTTACGCCGCCCCTTTCCACGCGCGGCACGGAAAGAAGGACCTCTACCCGTGGTCGGGCCACTATACGACCAGCGCCCAGGCGGAAGGCGCCATTGAGGGCACGGCCTCCGAGTACGAGATGCAATCCGCCTTCGCGACCGAGTTCGCTTTCTCGCGCTTCAACGCGTTTGCGGCAAAAGGCGACCACGCGGCGGTCGGGAGCTCAAAGACCACGGACATCGTCGATGCGTCTTCAATCGAGCGCGTCGCAGATCCCGCCACCGAGGAGGAGCGCCGGCGACTCTCCGAGGCGCCGTGCCCACCCCCATCGCCACCGCCTGTTCCGTCGCCTCCGAAGGAGGACCCAACCTACCAAAGCCTCACCTGCGCTACGGGCAAGAAGAAGGATTTCTACATAGTCGAAGCGTGGCCGGTCAACGCAGCCCACGACCCCGCGACAGAAGAAGGACCACCGCAGATGTGTGCTGGTACTGGTGGTTACCGACTACGCGACAAGGAACTGTGCAAAGGGGAAGCTTCACGTGCCCTGGGAATGACTTGGCAATATGAACACTGTGGTGGCGAGCAGCTTCCAGCAAGTCATTGAGCGGGAATGTATCCAACGGAAGGCTGCTTCTATCAACAGGGCTACTCGTTCTGGTCGTTGTGTGCTCAGGATGGTTCTGATAATGGCGGCAACACTTACGACGCTGGGGTAAAGAACAATCTCCACCGAGGCATCTGCTATGGCTGCGTGGATGATCCTTGACCACCTTCTTGCCACCGGCATGCTCTGGGAGCGCGGATGCACACCAGATCGCGCTGCTGAACCCACGGTGGCTGCCTTCGGCCACCGGCAGCGCCGGTGCGACGACATGCTGGCGGCGGTCTTCCGCAAACTACTGTCAGGCGAGTGCACGACGAGATGTGACCATGGGCGCTCGCATGTGTGCTCAGGGCACCTCAGGGCTGCTGCGTGACGCGTGGCTCGGCTCCGCGAGCGCTTGTGAATTTTCTGTGATTTTTTTGTACTGATAGCACTTGTGGCAGTGGTCGAGTGCCGCAACGACCGCGTTCGCGAAGAGGCTAGATACATATGCGCAGCCACGGAGCGCTCCTCGCCGCCGCCGCCGCCGCCGCCGCCGCGCTGCTCGCCATCGCCGTTCGCCGGCGCAGGCGAGCGGTCGCGCTCAATGAGCACCGCCGTGGCCAGACGCAGTGCGAGGAGGAGGTCACAGTTGAGGAGGCACAGCGGCGCTTCGCTCGCCTCGCAGACGGAGAGCTCTCGCCGCCGGTGGCGCTGAGAGGGCTGCGAGCTGTCCACCGGCAGCGCCTCAGCAAGGGGCTACACTTTGTGTGCCTGCGCTGCCCGAGCGGGCGGACCATCGAGGCGGTCTTGCGCACCGAACTGCTGGCGGACCAGCAGCTGGGCCAGCTGTACCGGCTGGGCGACGCTCTGACGGTGAGCGGCGCCCTCGAGGCTCGCAGAGGCAGGCTCTCGATCCGCGCCACCCGGCTGAGCGTGGACGAGCCGTGGACGAGCCTCTTTGGCGACATACCGTTTGTGCACGACTTTGCCGCCGCTGCAGCCGCGGGCGGCGCGGGCGACGTCCTGCTCCAGACGGCCATCTCGCACGCGGAGCGGGTGCGAGAGCGGCTCGATGCGAACGCCGGCGTGCGCTGCGTGGCCGGTCTGGTGCGCCCCCGTCGCGGGCGGGTCCGCCGAGACGACTCGAGATCAGCCGAGCTCACCAGCCCGAGCTCACCTGCGAGTAGGTGCGGCCCGTTGCGGATGGGTCGCGGCACATGGAGTGCGGCCTCCTCGTCGAGCTGGGCGCCCAACAAGAGATGCTTCCCACGTGTTCTGTGCAGCACTAGCTCTCGAGAAAGGACGCCGGTGGCAGCCCGCACAATTCCGTCTCCGCTGCATCCATTGCCCCGTGTAGAGCCGCCGGCGATGTGTGCCTACCGGGAGATACCGGGAGATACCGGGAGATACGGGGAGATACGGGGAGATGCGAGGAGATACGGGGAGTATAGGGAGATACGGGGAGATCTAGCCGGCCATGTGTGCCTCAATGCAGGCGAGCCGATGCCTGCCCTCGAGGAGGCCGTTCGAGCCGACGCGGTGAGATCTAGCCGAGATTTCTAGCCGAGATGTGCGCTCTAGTGGCCTCCTCGACCACAGGCGGCTCTGCCCGCGGGGATGTACGCAGCATCAACAGTATCCTCCTCCTCCTCACCCCCCCTCCCCCCCCTCTCCCCCTCCTCACCCCCCCTCCCTAGGCGCTGCCGGACGCCGTCGTGCAGTGCGCCCGCTTGTCGCGGAGGACGAGTCCCGCCTCTGGGAGCCTTCTCGTAGCCCTCGTGTGGCCGGTAGGCGCATCTACCCGCTCTCGGAACGGCACGGCACGCTCTCTGCCGCCTGCGACGCCCTCGCCGGCATGATCCTCGCCGCTTCGCCGCGCCCAACCTGCCGCGTGCAGGCGTCGCCGCGAGATCGGCCCGAGATCGAGCGAGATCGAGCGAGATCGACCGAGGTGCCGCTTGCAGGCCTCGCCGCGCTCGCTCGAGCAGCGGATCGCTCTCGCCCTCCACGCGCGCGGCGTGCCCCTCTCCCTCAAGGACCACTCCGCCCTCGCCAGCGTCGCACACGTCTTTGGCCTCCGCGCCCTAGAAGGGGAAGACGTGCTCTTGTCTCCCAACCAGCGCTCGAGAGGACACGTATCCAACTGTGTTCAGTTGTCTTCCGCTGTGCTCACTGTCTTCGCAGCCCCTCCTCTCCACGCGGTGCTCTGAGGACGCTGCACAATACCGTCCTCCCGCCCTCATGTCGGCGTATTCACCCACGTAGGCACCTCGCGCGCTGATACCACACCACCCACGGAACCGAATCCACACTGGGTTCGATACCCTGGAGGTATGGTACACGTAGGCTCTTTCGGCGTCGGGGTCGTGCGCCGGTCCGGCCACGGCGTCTTGTGGGGCGAGACGCCGCGAGGCGAGGCGTCGGCGCGGCGGCAGCAGCGCACGGCCGCAGCACACGCGCCGCAGGCGGCGCCCCACGTATTGCCCGCGTCACCTTCGCCGCCGCCATTTTCGCCGCCGCCGCCCGTGCCGCCGCCGCCTCCGGCACCGCCTCCGCCTTCGCCACCGCCACCGTCGATCTCGCACACCCTAGAAGACGAGAGGCACGCGGGCGCTCACGCGCAGTCTGTGGACAGGCAGCACCCGTCTGCCGCGCCTACCACAAGCTCGAGCAGGCGGCGGCGCACATCGCGCTCCCCCTCTCGGCGAGCGCGCGCGCACTCGACGTGGGCGCCTCCCCGGGCGGCTGGACATCGTACCTCGCCGAGGTGCTGCCGAGAGACAGCCGAGAGATCGCCAAGAGACCGCCGAGAGATCGCCGAGAGATCGCCGAGAGATCGCCGAGAGACAGCCGAGAGATCGCCGAGAGACAGCCGAGAGATCGCCGAGAGATGGCCGAGAGATCGCCGAGAGATCGCCGAGAGATGGCCGAGAGATCGCCGAGAGATGGCCGAGAGATCGCCGAGAGATCGCCGAGAGATCGCCGAGAGACAGCCGAGAGATCGCCGAGAGACAGCCGAGAGATCGCCGAGAGATCGCCGAGAGACAGCCGAGAGATCGCCGAGAGATCGCCGAGAGACAGCCGAGAGATCGCCGAGAGATCGCCGAGAGATGGCCGAGAGATCGCCGAGAGATCGCCGAGAGTCACCGAGGTACGACGTGCAGCCCAGCCGTCCGCCGCACGACTGCAGGCCGGGATTGGCTCCGTCGTCGCCATCGACCCGGGGGCGCTCGAGCCGCGGGTCCTCGCGCTGCCCGCCGTGGAGCACTTGCGCACGCGATTCGAGGAGGCGCTTCCTCGGCTGCTCGAGCGCAGCCGCACCTCCGGGCCGTACGACCTCTACTGCTGCGACATGAACGCCCCGCCCGCCGTCGCGACCGACTTGCTGCTTCAGGCGCTGCCGCTGCTGCGGGCGGGCGCCGTGGTCGTGCTCACCTTCAAAAACACCTTCAAGAAGCCCGCGCCGTGGCACGAGGCGTGTGAGGCCGCGCTGGCGCGGCTGCGCGGTCCGCTCGACGGCGTCCGCTCCGTGCAGCTCTTTGCAAACACCGTGCGCGAGTGCACCGTCCTTGGCGAGGTGCGGGCGGCAGCGGAGGCGGGCGCTGCTGAGCGATGCAGAGCGATGCAGAGCGGCCGCGCCATGCTCCTGCGGCGGATCCTCGCCGACTACTTCGCCGAGCACGCCCCTGATGGCTCGCACAAGGTCGAGAACCTCGTGGCGCGCGTCGTGGGCGGCCCCCCCACCGCGCTCGACGGCGTCGGCGTCGTGGGCGGAGTCCTATGGGACGAGGCGGAGCTGTTCTCAAGGCTCGAGGCCAAGTACGGCGCGAAGGTGGACCCCGATCCGTAGACCGCGGACGGCGCTGAGGAGCGCGTTCGGCGCGCGCCCAATGGCCATGCGCTGTGGAGTTTGGAAGCAGAACTCGGAGTTGGTTGTCGTTTGCATGAGGCTCTCTGTTACATCGCGAGATGGCAGAACAAAATGGCACTCCTAATAAATAAATAAATAGAGCAGTCATCTCCAGGGAGAGATGGGCGACGCACACGAACACAGAGGGACAGTGCGCACCCCGCCCCGCTCGCAGGGCGTGCAGCACACAGCAACACAAGACATATCTAGGCGCTGTGCGCCTCCTCGGGATTTCTGGGGAGGTAGGAGTGTGTGTGTGTGTGTGTGTGTGTGTGTGTGTGTGTGTGTGTGTGTGTGTGTGTGTGTGTGTGTGTGTGTGTGTGTGTGTGTGTGTGTGTGTGTGTGTGTGTGTGTGTGTGTGTGTGTGTGTGTGTGTGTGTGTGTGTGTGTGTGTGTGTGTGTGTGTGTGTGCTCGCTCGCTCGTGGCACGGCGCATATTTTCACTCAGCTTGAGTGAACACGGAAAAATTCTTTTTCCCTGCTCGCTCAAGATGGCGGACTCCGAGCTTGAGTGGAGCCTCGCCGCCTTGTCGGTGGCCGACGACGTGCTCCGCAGTCCGCCGCCGCCGCTCGTCGTCCGCACCCCGTCAGAGGTGGAGGAGGCGGCCGTGGCGGGCCGGCGGCGCTCGGGCAGCGGTCGCGACGACTTTGACTTTCAGACGCCGTCGTCGGCGGCTGACTTGCCCTATCGTCCCAGCCCGACCGGATCATCCGCCGCCACATCGGCACGGGTTGGCTCCGGCTCCCGCGGCTCGGCGCGCTGGCAGGCGTCCTCGCGCAAGCCGCTGTCGGCGCACACCGGCGAGCCGAGGAGCGGCGGTGGGTCGTGCACATGCGCAATCTGCCTCTCGCCTGTCCGGCGCGTGGCGGCACCGACGCGCCGCGGCCTCTCCTTCGCGGGCGACGGCCCTGGCTCGCTCCCGCGCAAGCTCCCCTTTCGTACGCAGTGCTGCGGCCAGGCTCTCCTCCCCCCTCCCACCCCCGCCCGCGCCCACCCCACCGCCAGCTCTTCTCCTCGGCCCGCCGTCTGACGCCGCCCTCTCGGCCCCTCCCCCACCGCCTCCAGCTCTTCCACCGCTCGTGCCTGAGCGCCTTCAAGGAGCAGGCGGGCGGCAACGCGACGCTCTGCCCGCTCTGCCGTAGCGACTGCGTCACCGGCCTCACCCCGCGCCGGCAGCCTGCCCCGCGAACAAGCTTTGTCGGTGCGTCGCACCCATCGCCGCCCCAATGTCCACCCTCGCCGCAGCAAACGACGCCGCCGCCGCCTCCGCCGCCGCCGCCGCCTCCGCCTCCGCCCTCACCGCCACCGCCCTCACCGCCGCCGCCCTCTCCGCCTCCGCCCTCACCGCCACCGCCCTCACCGCCACCGCCCTCACCGCCACCGCCCTCACCGCCACCGTCCTCACCGCCACCGTCCTCACCGCCACCGCCCTCACCGCCACCGCCCTCACCGCCTCTCGTGGGCCCCTGTCCTGGAACGCAGGAGCCTCGTCCATGCGCGAGCTCATGCGCTCGCGCGCTGCCGCCGCCAGGCTCGCGCCCCGGCCGCCGCCACACCTCGGCTCATCTCGGCGACCCTCTTGCCCCTGCAGCGGCCGCCTCGCTCGCCCGCCTCCTCCACAGGCCGCTGCCGTCGCACCCCTTCCCCGCACCGCTGCAGTCGACACAGATAGGATCTCTCGTCACCAATGGTGAAGAAGGAAGGTGGGTCGGCGTGTGGAGCCTCTCCATTCCCTCCCCGTGACCAAGCAGACCTGGTAGAAAGCTCCTCGGCCACTTCGCACAACGAGATCCACTCCACGCCGTACATGAGGAGGGTGTGCTGACCGCATACCGCCGCCCGAGCGGGCGGTATGGCCTCCCACAGCGGCTCAACTAATCAAACCCACCGTAAGGCGC